AAAGTTGGCATTTTTGTTCCTGTCCTGTTTCTGTGTCATCCCTGGGCCAGCTTTCCTTTCATTCTCAAATGCTCTTTCCAGCCACTGAACTTGATGCTTCTCCGGACCACCCTAGCAGCCTCAGCTGTGGGTGTCCTTCCCTTCTGGTTTGGCTTCTTCTTTCTCTGTGTGCTGCCAAATACCCCTCCAGCAGCCAAGACAGCCCTGTTCCTGCGTGTATTTATTACCTAGGGCAACACTGAAGAAATGTGGCCCTTCCCATTTCTCTGCATCCTCTAAGTGCTCCAAGCATACAGCTCTGTGGAAACAGCCTAGAAACCTGCATTCTGATGCCTATTTTTAAGGTAGTAGGTTTTTTGGTTGCATTGGAAGGGGTTTGTTTTCCTTTTTTGGGTTTTTTTTTTTCCGTACCAGCGATCGAACTTGGGTCCTTGTGCTTGCGAGGCAGGCAGCAGAAACACAGAGCTAAAATCCCTGTCCCTGGGGTGAGATTTTTTTAATCTGCCACTCACCTAATAAACACACTTGCTATCTTAACTGTTACTATATTCCCTTGTCCAACAAAATTATTTAACAAGTTGTCCTTTTCTAAGTTTTAATTTCAGCTTTCTGTGTGTAAGATATGACATATAGGCTGATTGTAAAATTATGTTTCAGTTCATTGTGACAGCTTAACAGACTGTCTTCCCTCATTTTTGTAGGAAAATTATCAGTGACATCACTTATTCAGCCCCGAATTTTTTTTCTTAAGTATGGTATATATAGAAACTCCTGGATTTTCCATGAAATTGTTCAGACAGTAAGTTATTTTAAATTAATGTGCTTTGTTGTTTTTGTTACTGCTCCACAAAAGAAAGACAGAGCCCTTCCGAGTTTGTCTAACCAAAATATATTTGCCTCGCAGTGTGGACTCCATTCCTACTGAGGTCTGTACTCCTGGTTTCCCTGCAAGGTAGGGCCAGAGAGGACTGGCAAGTAGGGTCCCTTCAGAAGGTGCTATTTCCTTTGGAGCTTCAGAGCTCCCGGGGCTCTGATTCTCTGCCTGCCTGCGATCCCAGTACTCTGGGAGGCTGGAGGCAGGAGGATCACAATTTTGAACCCAGCCTAGGCAATTTAGTGCCTTAGGAACACCCTGTCTAAAAATGAAAAATAGAAACTGCTGAGGGTATAGGTCAGTGCAAAGGACTGGGTTCAGTCCCTAGTACTGCCCCCCCCAAGACTTCCAGAAGTGGAATTTGGCTGTGTTAGGCATAAAATGTGTATATTTTTCTTCTTCTTTAAATCCTGTGCTGTTGTTGGAATGGTTTCATTTTCTCTGTAGAGGACTGATCGTCCAGGCTGTATGCCACTCAAATATTAAGAGTGAAAGGAGCTGTGAACACAGTTTTATTCTCTCTTGGAGTCTCCTGCTTTTTAAACCTGTTGTTCTACCTAGAGGATGTGACAAGTAGGTGCATCACATAATTAACTAAAGTTCACTTTATTCCTTTGACTTAAGTAGAATTTTAACCAGATACTTAGCAAATCATTTTTCCATATGCTTCAAGCTAATTTCTGTGACTGCTATTTAGTTTCCAGTCCCCCTAAGAGACACAAATTTCCCATCTAAAAGCCCAGTTCTGGTGTTGGAGGGTTCTAGAGAGGTCCCACATTTGCAGTGTCATGTGGCCTGATTCAAACTGATAAATGTCTCTTCCAAAGTACAAGATGCACAAATAGTTAAGCACACAGCCTTTGGGGAATTCTGCTGCTTGAAAAGCTGAGTACAGCATGTGTGAGACTGGTGTACCTTGGGAAGATAGCTTTCTATTTCTTTGCTAGGCAGTTCCTGAGTTCTCATTGTGGGCTAGTTCATATTTTTTTTCCTAGTGAAAGGAAGAGGCAGGTAGCTGTTACTAATTTTTATACTTTACAACAAGCCATCGGGGTCTTGATTCCTTTTAGGTGTGGACGGGTTGATTTGTTGCTTCTGTCTTTCTCTTCCTAATAGACCTTGTGGGTGGTAAAGATCTTAGGGAGTGAAACATTAAAAATGAATGAACAGAACTAGAGTAGTTTGTCTAAGGTGGGTTGAGAGGGACTGGGTGGGGGAGGCTTAACAAAAGACATCGATGTTTTAAATGCACAGAAAAATGCCATGCATCAATAATACATAGCATGGCATGGAGCAGATGTGCTGAAGTGAGTTACTAACAGCGGATGAATCAGTTCGTGGAGGTGGAGAGGAAGCATGGCTGGTGTTTCTGATGCTGTGTGAAAGCTTTTGAACACCATTTTGAGTTCTATTTTCAAGCCAAGAGTTATCTGATAGAGATTTTTTTTTTTCTCCTATTACTGTAGGGATCAGACCCTAGGACCTTCCACATACTAGGCAAGTGCTGTACCACTGTGCTGCATCCCCATCAAAACTTTGGAACTTCCAAAAACTCTTAATTCAATTGTGAATATCTTTGAAGGAAGAATTATTAAGGATGAAGGAATTTTGCTTCTCAGAAGAGGAAGACAATCTGAAAATGAATTTGTTGCCCTTCCCAGTGGAGTACTTGCATTTTAAGAGATCGTGTTGTAATTGTTCTGAGGAATGAATTGCATTCTAATGCTCAAGTCACAGGACGACCCCGTTATCTACATGTACACTGATTATATCCGGGTACCTATTAAGTATGGATTTAAACTCTAGAGGATCTCTCAGGAAATCTGAGTTATGCTTTAGGGTCAATTCATCACCTCAGAATTACCTCACCTCATGGGGAAAAGAAAGAGCAGTATCACCATAATTTTCTCATAAATAAAATCACTTTCAGAAAATGGAATAGACAGATGAAATGTATTAGACAGGAATATTCTATAGGTGTAGATACAACAAAATCAAACTTTTGTTGATCTTCTAGATATGTGGAGTGAGCGTCATAACCATAGAGGAAGAGAACATGCACCGTGTTTGAAATGACTCCACGTTCTGAGTTGGAATTGATGTGCTTAATGAAAAAACAGACTTGTAGGACATAGGGAGTTACTCTATTCTTTAATATTAACCCTTGCTTTCCTTTTTGGAAACTTGCTCAGAATTGCTTTGTGGTCGTAACAAAAGTAATTCCTCTTTGCTTTTCATGATGTGAACAAAAAGATACGTAGTTCTTGCATATAATACCAAGTGGTCTTACACTTGAGGTTTGTTAGTCTGGAAAGACAAGTTGCATAGCTGTTGTGGAAGTTTGTTTAATCTTATAGTTGGAAATGAATAGTGATTACACAAAAAGTCTATTATTAGCTCTTAGCCATCTGTATTGTTAACTTTCAGCCTTTTCAGGTTTAGAATTTACTTGAATTGATTTTTCACCTTCAAGGAATCCTAGCATGCCTTAAAAAAGCACTTGTCAGACTGATGTTAGAGCCACCAAATAAATCTGTTTTATGGTGCTATTAGATATCTAGCTGAGAACTCCCACTCACTCTGGAAGGCCCTCTGGTTGGATGCACAGAACATTTCCTGAAATCATCTCTGGTACACCTCATTCAGGTTGTTAAGAAGGTGTTGAAATGTGAGAAGCCGGTGGTGAAATCAAATTGTGGCTCTGGGCAATTAGGAGGGGAGAAAGCCCAGCATTTTCATAGCACATTGTCTGGCTTTTAGTTGCAGCTGCAAACAACGGATATGAATTGAACCAGTTGCTGTAGTGCAGCTGGTTCAGATCTGGCTTTATAACTGGCTGAAGTAAAGTTAAATGGCTGGAAAATCCCAGTCAAATAACAGCAGTGGGAACATGTGGACTTAAATAGTGTGAGCAAACGCTGTGTTGGGGAAAAACTTCAGACATAAACTTGAGGGTAGTGGTGAGGACTTGGGGGGCATTTTTCTAGGCTTCTAACAAGGGACCTATTGTTTTGATTAGTTTCCTTGCAATTGGAAAGTTCCCTCCATCCAGAGCAGCTCTCGGAGTGCCTGACTTGTCCGCCCTCTTCCTTGACTGAAGTCACCTGATACTTTTTTTTTTCTCAAAAGGGAAGAAGGAATAAGCTGTTATTCCGAAGTTACTGACAGTGACACAAATCTCAAAATGTAGTCCTTTTTCCTTTGGAGCAGCTTCCCTATCTTGTGCAACACAGAACCTGTCTCTTCGTATTTCTCCCTCCACTTGCACTGTATGTCCTAGGCCACATTGTGTGAAGGTTCAGGATGGAGATAGATAGATTGACTGACACATGTGGTGTGTGTGTGCTCTAGTTAGAAGATTCTGCAGGGAGAAGATGGGCTTGCTAAAGGGAGGCTTTGGTATTTATCCATAGATTTTTTTTTTTTTCTCCCTGAATTGTGTGCTTGACTGGAGAATTGAAAGTTGACTGGAAAAAGGTCCAAGAAGCTAAAGGGCCCTGGTGTAGTGTGGAGAAAATGTGCGCTGTAACTAGATCGGGGTGGATACTCTGCCAACGCTTGGGAGCTGTGCTTGCCGAATGATTTCCCTGCCATAGTAGCCCGTCATGTGCAGCCTTGGTGAAGACCTCTCTCCCGAGGTACATGACTGGTAGCTGCTGCTGGGCTTCCCTCTCCACTTTGCTTTGTCGCTCAGCATTTATATCAAGCTTGTAGTGAGAGTCTGGGAATATATGGTGATGGCCCAATGAAGAATCTTCAGAAAGCAAAGTTCGGATAAATACGTTACTAATGAAGCCCCTAAACGTTTCTAGATAAAAACTTGGACACTTTTTTGTTCCCCTCGGAGCTGTGCCTTCTCTTTTCCATTTTTGGATAAACATAGATGTGCACTATCAATAAAATTGCCTTTTTCCCAAGAAGAACACTATTACCCATCTTAAGAAAGATCTTTTATTGCACCTTCTCTGGGTTTATTTTACATTTTAATTCCCAACACATGGTACTTTATTTTCACCAGTGATTTGCGGAAAGAGACAGTGAGTTTGGAGAATGTCCCAAGCCGTTCCACTCCACTGCTCTGCTCCCTTGCCCTTGTGTTAAACTGTGGACACGTTGCTTCCCACAGATCACGATCATCTTCAAAGCCCACCGTGAGTGTACAGACCAGAAAGTGTACCAAGCTGTGACAGATGACCTGCCAGCTGCCTTTGTGGATGGCACCACCAGTGGCGGGGATGGCGACACCAAGAGCCTGCGTATCGTGGAGAGGGAGAGTGGCCGCTACGTGGAGATGCACGCCCACTACATAGGCACGACGGTGTTTGTGCGGCAGCTGGGTCGCTACCTGACTCTCGCCATCCGCATGCCTGAGGACCTGGCCATGTCCTACGAGGAAAGCCAGGACCTGCAGCTGTGTATGAATGGCTGCCCCTTGAGCGAACGCATCGATGACGGCCAGGGCCAGGTGTCCGCCATGCTGGGGCACAGCCTGCCTCGCACCTCCTCGGTGCAGGCCTGGCCCGGCTACACACTGGCGACTGCCAGCGCTCAATGCCATGAGAAGATGCCAGTGAAGGACATCTATTTCCAGTCCTGTGTCTTTGACCTGCTCACCACTGGTGATGCCAACTTCACCGCCGCAGCCCACAGTGCCTTGGAGGACGTGGAGGCACTGCACCCGAGGAAGGAACGCTGGCACATCTTCCCCAACAGTGGTAGCGGTGCTCCAAGTGCGGCCGGCGATTTGTCCGTCAGCCTGGGACTCACGGGCTTGATCCTTGTTGTGTTTTTGTAGGGGTTGTCTTTTGTTTTTGTTTTTAATTTTTTTGTCTATAACAAAATTTTAAAATATATATTGTCATAATATATTGAGTAAAAGAGTATATATGTATATACCATGTATATGACAGGATGTTTGTCCTGGGTTACCACCTATTGTACATATTGTGCTTGGCTGTTTTCACACGCATTGGATGTAGTGTTCTTTGATTGTATCAATTTTGTTTTGCAGTTTTGTGAAATGTTTTATAACATCCCTGCTGGGGACCTGTTAGAAAGCACTTTATTTTTTATATATTAAATATTTATGTGTGTACCTGGTTAATATGTATAGTACATATACACAGACACCATACTCAATGTTCCCTTCGAAGGTGACCAGTTGTAGCTATTCTTGGCCATCCTGTCCTGCCCTTTCCCACTGCCACTGATTTGCCACAGTGTGCAGTTTTCTCTGGCCACACCCTGGTGGAGCTGCCTCTTTGCTTGGGAGTATTTTCCTCACTCGTCCTCCTGCCCTCACTCAATTTCAAAAGACAGCTCCTTCCTCCCTTACAGGCTCTTTCGACTCTACTGCATACTGATCTAAATAAGGAGCCCTCTCTCTAATAGCTGTCACTTCTTTGGAAGGTGAGGAGTATTGCTACAGTTCTTAGCACCCCTGCTTCCACTTGTCGTATTTGAACACATGGTGTGCTAGGTTGGACCTGTGAAAACTGCTTTCTGTAGGTAAAAGGGGTCTCGTGATGGCAGCTTCATAGATAGGTACTAGGCACCTTGCTAGACTTCAGTAGCTCTGCTTTTTCTCATCCCATGCCCCAGTTTAAATTGTAAGTTTTCTCTTTTAACTTAATTCATTAAAACATGAAGCCACAAACTTAGTAATAATCATGACTTGTTCTTTGTGTAATTTGTGGAAGCCCATGTTCTTAGCTGTCTCGACTCTTTGGACCCAGAAACATAACTCCCTGTCTCACCACAGTTGACTGACCTCAGCCTCACCTTATGAATCCAAGGGCTGGTTTTGTTAAGAGTGATGAGACTCAGGTCCTACCACAGAAGTTCTCCATTCTTCCATGCCCTCCACTCACTGGTCTTCACAGTTCTTGACGTGATTTTATGTATAATGAAAGGGAGTAGGGTGTTGATGGCAGAAAACCTTCTTTGGCCTGACTCAGTATATGCTTGACAATGGCTGCTGATGAGACCAAATATTAACTCAGTGTTGTGCTGCCCAAGTACTCTGTCTTTTAATTCTCCCCTCTTAATGCCTGTAGCTGAATATTAATTGTTCATGTGACTTGGTGAAATCTATAAATTATAAATCTTTTGGGCCCAGGGATTTAGCTCAGTTCCACCAATTGCCTTGCAAGCACAAGGTCCTGAGTTCTATCCCTGGTACCAAAAAAAAAGGTGATCTCTCTCCTCCCGTTCCATAGTTTGTACCCTTAGGAAGAGGAAAAACAGCTGCAACAAAAGGCAGGAATAAATAGGTGGGGTTATATCCAAACACAAATTTTGGTTCTAAGAACTGGTACTTTAACAATTCAAGTTTAAATAATTGCAAATAAAAGATAAATTTGAAATACCATTGTAATTTAGGCCACGGTTATGCTTAATTGTAGTTGACCATGTGGTATCTTTTACTGTGTCCTGATCAGTGGCACTACCAGAGACCCAGACAAGCAACAAAAGATGTCATTTTGTGAAGTTGTTAATGAACTGAGGTACCAACCAGTTACAGGGTACAGTTGTGAGTTCATTCACGAGTGGCAAACCTCTCTGCTTCTGGTGTATGAAAGAATAATCCTGAGCAGCAGCAGCATAGGTTAATAATGAAGGCTCCCTGCTACTTGTAGGGATTCAACTCCAGGATGAAGCCCAACCAATCCTGTCGTCCTGTTGTGCAAGCTGAACTAGGCCCTGCCTACCATCCCCTCTGCGCTGTGGCTACTGCTTCTGTTCATCTCTGGAGCCGTGTGCCAATTTCAGAAGCTTTTGTAATTGAGTAGAACATGGAAAAACAATACTTAGGATACTTTTAACCACTATTTTTGTGCAAATAGTATAAAAGTGAAGTAAAAGCAATAATAGAAGTTTCTACAGTGTGTGGGTTTAGAGTGTATGTGATTAATGTACCTTTGTCCTTTTCCGGGAAAACAAAACAACTATTCTGCTAAGAGTTGGGAAAAGAAAACCCGGTGGTTTTGCCATATCATTTTGCTGGAAAGGACACTTAAAACACCCAGTGTTGCTAGTATTCATACCAGTGTGCTTCCTTACTCCCCATTTTTAACCAGTACCCCTGTAAAGCCTTTACAGACACCACAGGTGACTTAGGAACACAGTGCAAGTATCACTAGATAATGCTTGTATATCTTTAGCAAGGTTTGTTAAGGGTTCCTAGAGAAAATGCTGCTTGCACGTGTTGGTTCATAAAATCCTCCTTAGAAGACTTTCAGATCATACCAACATGTGGATAGGCCGGGCCTGTTCACAGGTCTCCTGGGGGAGTTTAAACTTTGGGGGAGAAACTGGTTTTCACAGATGCTCCACATGGCTGTCTTTAAAAGACTCAGAACATTTTTGTCCTCTCCTATGCTTGGAAGCCTCCACCCTCACCGCACCAGCCTAGTGTGTTGAGTCTTTGCAAAGAAACCATTTGATGTGGTTCATAGGTATATGAATAAGTATCTGTGTGAAACAGTGAGTGTGCAGTGTGTAAATACTTTAAATTATGCTAGAAAAATAAAGTTACATACCATGCTGTGGAATGTTTGTTCTGTCATTACAGTGACACCTGCTGGAAGAGCTGAGAAACAGCTGCAGAAGTGGGAGGGGTTTACACAATCCCTAACAATTATTGACAGTAAGTTTTACTACCTCCCCTGTAATTTGCTTTACTACTGCTATACTTTTTCCTTTCATAAAATCGGAGCAATTACAGATAAGCCAGTATCTGTGAAAGGCTCCACCAATGTTGTCCCAAAAGTCCATCTTCCATAACAGTTTGCTCCCTTGAAGATAAGCAACCTGCCCTCGCCGCCCCCTAGGTTTTTGGTCGTTTTGTTTTGTTTTGTTTTTCATTTTGTTTTGTTTTTTGTTTTGTTTGAGCAAGTGTGGACTGCAGCAGCTTACTCAGGGAGTACTCTGGGCCTGGACTTTTTGGCTTGGGAATTTGTAAACCCTCACTTGTGGAGGGTTTTAAAAAGGGACATAACAAAGTCATACATTGACCTTTGTTCAAAATATACCAAAGGGTAGAAAGGTGGGAAAATTAAGCCCAAATTAAAGTCTCAAGGAAGCACTGTTGCTGTTCCTAGGTAGAATACCCAGTGCAGTGGGTGCTGGTTGCAGGGTAAATGCATGCATAGTTCCTAAATAGAAGCCCGAGCCATTGCACTTCGTGTTTGTATAGCAATTCAGAACAAGCAAAGGGAAAATCATTTGAGCTGAACCACACAAAACAGGACGCTGATAGTTACTGAGCATCCAGTGTGCATGTCTGTCTGAATCACTATGAGGTCTATACTTCAAAGTCAGAAAGAATTATTCAACGTACTGTATTCCTGCCTAGACCTCCAGGTGTTTGAGGATCAAAAGTGGACCAACTCCAAAATCCAAAAAGGTAGCTCATTAAACAGCAAATGACATAAACCCTAAGAATCTTCTTAGTTATCTTATTTTGGTAGCCACAGCATGGACAGTATTTTATTGTCTGAATTCAGCCAGGACAACACTGTCAGGCTGCTGCTATGCTTTCTGAGCGGATACCTTGCTGCAGATCGCCCCTATTTCTATAAACCTCTGTTTGTACATGGACTGAGGAATACATACTTCCCCCTTACAATTCTGCATTATTCCATATTGTTTATTTCAGCTTTCATCCCTTCTCTGTATGTCTCCCAAATGGACAAGTCATGTTCCCATCATTATTAGTTAGATGTTATTTTCCTTGCCGTTCTTCCCCCCACGTACATGTAGTAAACACGAAGTTTGGCAGTATTAACTAAACGATGGAATAAGATACCAGCCTTTGTGCCAAACTTTGAAATCGTGCTTGGTTGGAGTGATGATGTCTTTGTGCCTCGTCTCTCTTCTGAAGAGTGCAGATTATAGGGATAGTGTTGTCAAAGACTCAGGATGTCACACTAGCATTCTGCAGAGCCACCGTCTCCAGCCTCAGCCTTATCAGAATGATGTTCAGGTGCGGTTGCACATGCCTATAATCCCAGCCCTTGAGAAGCTAAGCCTGGAACTGTGAATTCCAGGCCAGCCTTGGCTGTACAGTGACTTTAGAGCCAGCCTGAATTATGCAGACCTTGTCTCAAAAAAAAAAAAAGCAAAATGATGTTCAAATAAGCCAACTGTCAACTACAATATATTAAAGTAAGTTCATCAAACCCACAGGAAGAAAGTACTCTAACTGAGCATTTTTTATGGTTGATATTTCTTAAGCATTTGCTACCTGATCATTCACTACACAAGACCAACTATAGATAATTAAGTAGAATTACACCAGTCTAACATTTTTAAACAATAATTTCAGTCAATAATTAACAGTACCAAGAGAAGTCACACTATTTTGACAACTCAGAGGGCCTCCAAAGCCTTCTAACAGGAAGTAGTAAAGTAGGGTTCACTGAAGGGGCAGAACAAGTGGGAGAATAGATTTATTTTCTAGTGATACCTCTTGAGCTGCTAGATTCTGATGCCATTAGTGCATGGTTTGGTCATCAGTGCAGTGAGGACCGAGTTGATATTTATTGATTAGCTGGCTCTTAAGTGCAAAGTTGGGGACGACCCCTCTGGGCCTGAGTCTCCTCATGAAAATTCATTTTCCTTCTGGTGAAAGAGAGGAAGGTTTTTCTCAGAAGCTGAGAGGAAGTGTGGCAACAGAAAGGAGGAGCTCACGCCGCTGTTAGGGTTTTCTTATTCTTTAAACATTTTCTTTCTCACTCTGCAGGGCTATTTATCTGCCTCACAGGTACTCTGGGCAGAACCTGGCTAGGTACCATCTACCTCAAACAGTTCACAGTCATTGGGTAGAATCTCTCTGGCTCAGTTTAGGCTAGATAAAGCAGTGTAACAAAATGGGCCTATATAGAGTATAGTTATACAGATTATATATATGAATGAGCCTCGTCAAGGGGGTGAAAAACTGAAAATTGCAGAATAATGAAGAAAGAAACTGAAGACACTAACTTTGTGGATCACCAGAATTATTGTTAAAGTGGTGATATTACTTAAAATGACCTGCAGATTCAATGCAGTCTCCATCAAAATGCCATGACATTCTTCAAAGAATTAGGAAAAAGAATTTTAAAACTTATATAAAAATACAAAAGTCTCAGAATAGCCAAAGCAATTCTAAGCAGAAAGAGCAAACCTTGAGACATCACAATACTGAACCTAGTTAAAATGATGCCACAAAACCATAATAACAAAAACAGCATAAGACTGACACAAAAATAGACACATAGAACAATGGGAATAGAATACAGAACATAGAAACAAAGCCATACAACTACGGCCATCTGATATGGAGAAAGCAGCCAAAGTTTATGTTAGCATCTTTAACAAATGGTACTGGAAAAATTGGATATCCATATGAAGAAGACTGAAGCTACATCCCTATTTCTTACCATTTTTTTTCTTTTTAATTGAGTTATTGGTACATTTTAGGGATACAGTACAGTTACATTCATTGTTGGGATCTTGTACCTCTACATGACAGGTCTTGGTTCTCATTTTTTCCCCAGGTCCCTGACCTCCCTTCACCCCCTCCTCCCCTCCCGATTTACAAACAGTTTATTTCCATCTTTTCATTTTCTCACATTGTTTCTTTTCTCTTATTACCATTCCCCTACCCATCCCACCTTCCCTACACCATTAGACCTTTTCTTTCCATTTCACGTCAGTTAATCTCATTAGGACCTTATGTACTATTACAGTTGATTCACACCAGAGAAACTATTCAGTATTTACACACGTATGACTTATTTATTTCACTTAGGAGCATATCCTCAATATGTATCCGTTTTCCTATGAATGAATCTAATTTCTCATTCTTTATGGCTGAGTAATATTCTATTTTATAGAAAAACCACATCTTTATCCAGTTTCCAACTGAGGGGCAAATGGGCGGTTTCCAAGTTTTAGCTATTACAAACTGTGCTGCTATAAACATGGGTGCACATACATCACTGTGGTATGATTCTTTTAGTTCTTTTGGAAAGATACCCAGCAGAGGGATGGCTGGGTCAAATGGAACCTC